GTGATGGTTTCAAGAAATGTGTTTTAGCAATTCAGAAAAACTGTAATGGGAAGTAGCAAAATCTGACAGGGTAGCACAAATCGACAGAACACCGCCCCTGACAACCAAATAAAGAAACGGACTGCAAATAGAAAAAAGCGCATGCAAATTAAGAAAACAACTTCATATATAATTCAGCAATGAACTTTTGGGAAAAAATTGATTTCATTTTACTACTGTAAAGTAATCTTGTAGTAAATGAAAAGCACGGAAAAGTTCAAATACCAAAGAATTGTATGAACTTGGTATGCATCACAATACAGTACAGTAAAAAATAAAACAAAAAAAAAAGTAAATTTAGCATCCTCTGCAATTTCATACAGTACTATAGCAGTTTATTGGTCTCCTGACACAAGACTAGCTATATCTCTAGGCAGTCATTTCTCAGTTCTGCAAAAATAATTTGACAACACACCCGCTGCAAATGCTCAGAACACAACCAAATAAATAAACGCACTGCAAATAGAAAAAAGCAACTGCAAATTAAGAAAACAACTTAATCAATTTGACAATACACAGGCTGCAACTACTCACAACACAACCAAACAAAGAAATGCGCTGCAAATACAATTCTTTATTTGGTTGTGTTGTGGAAAAGTTCAAATACCAAAGAATTGTATGAACTTGGTATGCATCACAATACAGTACAGTAAAAAATAAAACAAAAAAAAAAGTAAATTTAGCATCCTCTGCAATTTCATACAGTACTATAGCAGTTTATTGGTCTCCTGACACAAGACTAGCTATATCTCTAGGCAGTCATTTCTCAGTTCTGCAAAAACTTGTTTGCGTTGTGAGAATTTGCAGCACCTGCTGTCAAACTGATAAAGATGTTTTCTTGATTTAGGTGCTTTTTCTATTTGCATGTGTTTTCTGAAGTTGCAGCGCGTTGAGCTTTCTCGGCCACCGTAGATGAGTGGATGAATTGTCCAAATACTTAAATTTGGCAGTCAGTCTGAGAAGGAGAGGAGGAAGAGTACATGTAAGAAGTGGAGGATGTGGAGGAATAGGATGAGGAGAGAAAGAGTAAGGTTTAGAGAGTGTTATCAAGGCTGGATCTGTCAGACCAGAGGAAAGATGTTTTCTTGATTTAGGTGCTTTTTCTATTTGCATGTGTTTTCTGAAGTTGCAGCGCGTTGAGCTTTCTCGGCCACCGTAGATGAGTGGATGAATTGTCCAAATACTTTTTGTGTGCACTGTATCCTGTCAACAGTTTACAGAAATGTATGCTTTTCTGAAAAGGCACAACATAAGTTAATATGCATTTATATAGTATATGTTAAGTTATTCAATCATTTATACTGAACTTTTGGGAAAAGATTAGATGTAGTATCTTTTTAAGAAGTATTTCTTATCCTGTGGCTCCTAACATTAGTATTACAGATTTCATATCTGTTATAGCCTTCTGAGCAACAGAAATTCATGAAGCTTATGTTTCTTCAGAATATTTCATTCTCTACAAAGGCTCGAGAAGTTTGGACACACAAATTTGCACACAATTTATATTAGTCATAATGGGCCAAAATAAAATGGTAACACTTTACAATACAGGTGCACAAATATGAATTAATTCATGCTTAACTATATGCACAGATAATCAAAAGTTAATGTTTAACTCGTGAAGAAACAAACCATTTATTAATGATTACTACATCAACAACTAATGAACATTCTATATGATTCATAGATAAAGTAATAAATAAATTGTTATTAGTTAAATGTGTCATAACGTGTTAGTCCCCTAATTACATATTATATTAACTAATGATGTAAATTCATATGTTAAATACCACAGTGGTCAAAGCTATGTACTCTAACTTCCAGTTGTCTGCTTTAATTAATCATTAGCTAATGATTTGCAAAGGTATCATTATGTTATGACTTTACTTGTTGAGGCACAGAACTAGTAACTAATTGTTAGGTAATATGTCATTGTGGTTATGGATTTTGCATTAGTTAGTTAGTCATGTGCCTCAACAAGTAAAGTCATAACATAATGATATATTTGCCAATCATTACCTAATGATTAAAGCAGACAGCTGAAACTTGAAATGCATGGCGTCGACCCATTGTGGTAATTAACACATATATTTACACTATTAGTTGATATAATATGTTATTAGGGAATTAATACATGATGACACATTTAACTAATAACTATTTATTGATTACTTAATCTATGAATCATATAGAATGTTCATTTGTTGCTGATGCAGTAATTATTAGTTCTTCATGAATTATAGATGAACTCATGATTATCTGTGTATTAGTTAAAGGGGTGGTTGATTTGGTTGGTTGAATTGCGATTTCACTTTTTTAACGTTAGTTAGTGTGTAATGTTGATTTTTGAGCATAAACAATATCTGCAAAGTTACGAAGCTGAAAGTTCAATGCAAACGGAGATATCGTCTTTTAAAATTCTGTCAGTTTAATGCCTACAAAAACATCTCTCTTTCTCTCTCATTCAGCTCAGCTCCAACAATGAACTGTTCCAATTATACACTTATTTTCACATAGCTATGAGAAGCGTTAAATATGGACGCGTGTGCGGTTGCTGTACTGTGTTAAAGCTTTAATCAGTACAGTGGGCTAGCTAACCAATCAGAACCCATCGCCTATTTCTCAGGGCGGGGCTTCATAAAAGCAGGAAATGATCAGCGCGTTTCTTAGAGAAGGGACAGAGCGGTGTGGAATAAAGGTAAATTATGTGAAAAATAATGCGTTTTTTTTAAACGAAGCATTAACACATGTTAGACTGTACCCCATAAACACAATAAAGCCTAGAAAAAAACAGTGAACCACCCTTTTAAGCATGCATTAATGCATATTAGTGCCACCATATTGTAAAGTGTTACAAAAAATAAAAAAATAAATCAATAAAATAAAATAAAATAAAAATAATAATAATGAAAGCTGTAAAAGTCGAGTTAAGCTGTTTGCTTAAAAACATTGATATTACCATTTCAAGATATATAATGTAGCTTTTCAGCAGAGAAGGGCCTTGTCCCAAATGGCACCCTAAACCTTCGCGGTCTTCCTCTGAGCCCGCACTTTCATGACGTAATGCCGCTTTGGCTGTCGGGTAGAAGTCTGCTGCGGAGTTCGCCCCAGTGCGGGCTCGGCAGAAGTGCGGTCGAGGGCGCATAACAGCCGCAAAGGGGGCGCTCGCGAGAAACCTTCTGAATGCTAAAATGACAAATGGGACACCCTACGGTCTCGTGGACTTAACGGACACGCGCATGCGGCGGCCATTGTAAGTCCATAAGACCGCAAGTGCACATGAAATGTTCCATTTGGGACAGGGCCAAGCTGTTTTATTGGTAAAGCTCCCGGGTGTCACGATCTGCCTATTGTGTAGGAGCGCAAGCAAAGGAGCGAGGAGATGCGGAGACGTGGGAGAATCTTCAAAGAGTTTTTAATAAACAAAACCAGGGTTACACACATATAGGACATGGAGATGACGTTTAAGACTGGACGCAGGACTCAGGAAAACACAGGCCTTAAATACAGGAACTAAACGAGGGAATTGACAAGAAACACCTGAAATCAATGGACACAATCAAAGATCGGAG